AAATAGGAAAATATTTTGTCAATCCTCCTTCAGTTTGAACACAAGTAACATATCTTTAATGACTTCCTTTAATGACTTCAATATAAGTCATATCAACAACTTTCTTCTCAAGAACTCTCCAAATGATATCTCTTGGAACCCTATGGTAAGTTTTTTCTAAATCAATAAAAATCAAATACAATAAAAATCAAATATGTAGATCCTCCTTATTATCTCTGAACTTCTCCATCAAACCTCTCAATAAATGCATAGCTTCCATGGTAGACCTGCCCGGCATAAATCCAAATTGATTATGAGAAATCTTTGTAATACGTCTTAACCTATGTTCAATTACCCTCTCCCACAATTTTAAAGTATGACAAATCAACTTAATTCCTCTATAATTTGCACTCTTGTGCATCACCTTTATTCTTAAAAATGGGAACTAAAATACTCTTCCTCCACTCCGAAGGCATCCTTTTAGTTTTTAAAATAATATTAAAGAGTTTAGTAAGCCAAGAAACTCTCAAATCTCCTAAACATTTCCATACTTCAATTGGGATATCAACAAGTCCTACTGACTTCCACCCTTAGTTTTCTTTAAAGTCTCCTCAACTTCTTTTTTACTAATGTGACGGTAAAAATGAAACGTTTTATTATTATTAACGATATTAAGATCACTAAGGTCGATCGTATTTTCAGAAATATCATTAAAAAGTTTAACAAAATAATTCACCCACCTATGTTGAATATCTTTTTCTAAGAAAAACACTTTTTAATTTTTATATTTAATACACTTTACTTGAGTTAAATCTTTACTTTTCTTTTCTCTTTGTTTGACTAGTTTATACATATAATTTTCATCATCCTTAGTATCTAATCTATTATAGAAATCATTAAAAACAAAGTTTTTAGCCTCACATTTTAGCGTCACAGATTGTTCTTTTAAACTCCCTGCGGGTCGTTTGATATTTTTCCAAATTCTCTAAGCTTTTATATTTAAACCAACTTTTATAACATAACTTCTTATAATTTGTTTTTTCTTGCACAATATTATTCCACCATTAGCTATTTTTATTTAAAGAAACTTTATCTTTTGATTCTCCAAGTACATATTTTGCTACTTGTTTAACAATATTTGTTACTTTATCACACATAGCATTTGCTTCATCATGAACATCCCAAAATTTGAAATCTTAAATTTTACTCATAAAAATAATTTTATTAGTGTCTTTTAAGTTCTCTCATCTAATTTTACGGTGATGAGTCCTAGTATTCTTTATTTTACAACTCTTCATCTTAAAATCTAAAATTAATAAATGATGTTGGGTACGTAAATCCTCTCTTGGAATGACATTACAATCTTTACAATCTTGACGATTTCATCTTCCCAAAACAATAATTAAAAAAATTTCCTAACACAAAATACAAATGATCTTTGTCATCATCATCATCATCATTACCACCAATGGACTTGACCACCAAATGTATAAAACCCACTTCACGTATCAATCTTAAGTAGAATAACATGAGTTGAACATGTTTTCAACAAATCTTCATGCTTCTATCAATGTAAAAACTTTGATCCTCTACTTTTGCTTTCAAATCTTGCAATATTAATTTCTTCTAGGTGACTTGTTCAGCCTCATTCCATATCTTCCATGAACATGTCCAAGTAATCCATATCTAATTTTCACTGGTTCAAAGATTTGCTCCTTTTTGCAATATAACTAAATCTCAATCCATCATTAATTCTAGCAAATTCATTCTAATATTCTCAACTCTCTTACAATCAAAAAGTTTCTATATCAAGATATAAGATGATTATCATCATTGTGATTTTATGAAATTTCCACTCATGCAATCAAAGGACTTAAATCTTCATAAGAAAAATGAGCAATTGATTAGCATGGTTTCAAATTATCATGATAAATGAACTAAGACTTGTATTGAAATTGTTTAATGTGAAAAGCATGATTAAGGACAATGAACTCCTCTTAGTTCCAACCCTTTAACCCCAAAAGAAAACTCTATTTAAATTAGTTCACTTCAGTTATAAGAGGTTTTCATCAGGAAATAATGATGTCAACGCAAGAAGACTAGTCCAACCAAATCATAATAACGTAAAAGATCATTTCTATCATGCAACACAAATCAACAGTATCATCATCATTAAACTTAAAATCCAAATGTATAAATCCTAATTCCTCCATTTCTGAGTAGAATAGCATGTGTTGAACATGTTTTTCACTTATATCATAAAAACTTGGGTTCACGACTTTCTCGTACTAGGCTTTCAGCATAAATTTCTTTGTATGCATCTTTTTGGGGCATCTTCCATCTTCGTTGTGCATGCCAAAACCATCCCAATCGTATGATCACTATTTTGATGAGCTACTCACCTAGTCATCTAATACAATCAATTTTTAATATATCAATAATTGCTACAAATTCATTTTAGCATTCTAAATCCAGCGGCTATCACTATTATTCATTATTGCCCAATACCCTTCAAATACAAAATACAATTTGATTATCCTAATTGTCATTTTGAGGAGCATACAACAGACATGCCATCAAAACACTTATACTAAACTCTGTACAAAAGCAATGTGCAACGCAGTAGGATAGTTAAAAAATGTAAGGGAATATAGATTGAGATGTTTACAAAAAAAAATGCTAATTTGTAGATCTTAATTAAGGAAACCCACCAACAAGTTCTTGTTAAGCCTTGGACGAATGTTTTATGTAAGAAAAGTAAATAAAGTGTGTGCATTACAATCATTAGAAACACTACCAACAATAGTAAATTTCAAACTTATCCCAAAATAGCTTAAATAAATAAAAATTGATCCAGATTGTAAATCCTTTTACAAAATTCACTATAATGTCAATTCTTATTTGAATATAAATCTACTTTTAAACATGCTAAACTTCCAATAATGTTCAACACTGGTATCATGCAGGTTTCTATATAAAAGAAAATTTGCAGCACAGAAGAAGTCCAGCTCCCAACAACACAGCCAATGCTACATAGCAGTTCCTGCATGTATAAAGAACAAAGATTTGAGGCATACAGATTCTTTATTGCAGAGAAAACCGCACAAAGCCCTGATTTAAGTATAAACTACTGAAACTTCAGAATCGAATAAATGTAGGAAAAAAAACAATACCAGTACTTTCACTACATTCTACTTGGAAATAGCGAGACAAGAAACTGCTGGAATTAAAGACCTTCTGCTCTAAAGAATTGCAGAAAAAAATAGCTAAATAGAACAATTATATGCAATCAAAAGGTTACTAAGCCAAGCTTCTGTCCAAAAATAACTCAAAATTACAACATGTAAATTGCACCATCATTAATTTTGCTTCAGCCAAAAAAACATGTTCAATAATAATTCCCGCACAGAAATTTAACAAACTATTTGAAAGGAAACAATGTATATACTTTATCTCAAATTTAAAATACAAAGCAGAATAAAACCTTCGGAACTCTTCGAAACAAGAAACAGTATCCGATTCAATTACGCAGTGAGGACTACCGCTCCCCCATTCTCTTTGATCTTCTTTTCGGCATTCTTCGACACGAGCTTAGCCTTGACGACAAGTGGCTGCGATGACGGCAATGTGCCCTTGCCGAGAACCTTGAAGTACCCAAACTGGGTAACATCAATCATTGGAACAGTACTAGCAGGAGCCTTAGCGGCGGCAGCCTTGACGTCCTCCGGTACGAGAGACCAGAGACGATCGATGTTGACGATGGGACAATAGAACTTGTTGCGAAGGCGGTGGAAGTAACGCATACCAACCTTGCCGAAGTACCCTGGATGGTACTTGTCGAACAGGATCCGGTGATGGTGCATGCCACCTGCGTTACCGCGGCCACCGGGATGCTTCCGGTGCTTCCCGATGCGTCCATGGCCGGCGCTCACGTGGCCCCGCTTCTTCCTGTTCTTCTTAAAGCGTGTGGTCATCTCTCTGCCGCTGCACCTCCTGTCTCGCTCCTAGGGTTTGGAGCTCGAGAATCGACAACCAGTTGTATAAGAAATTCACGAACATAAAATTGAAGACCTATTGCGAGTTTATTTATAGGTGTCTTTCAAAAGGAGATTAAATATAGACCGTTTGATTAAGAAGCCGGATCGTGTGGTTTGGGTTCGCGCTTAGCAACCATCATGCACTTTTTAATGAAAATATAACTTGTTTTCTTTATTCTGAATATGATAATTAAACTATTAATTTTAAAAAATAAAACTTAATGAATTTCAAAAATAATATTGACATTTAACATCATTAAATCCAGTAAGAAATTAATAAATTTTATTTTTTAAGTAAAAATTCTAACTCATTGCAATAAAATATGTACTACAATAAATTTTTTGAGAAATTATTTTTCCATATTATTCTCATCTATGCAGCCATCTTAGTTTAATAGCTAGGAGCTTCCGCTCCTTAACACAAGTTCATAAAATCAAAGCGTAGTGTGAACATATGTGTAAGTGAATTTATGATTAAATTCACTTAAAATAAATAAAAAATATATATCATTTAAACATAAATAAGTACCTTATTACCCTTATTCTAGATAATTCAATTTCTATTACAAGTATATGTATTGCAGCTTTCACTTGACTATTAGAGAAATATACATAAGCTATACTACATTTCTATGTTTTATTCTTCTTGGCCTCTGTTCGCATGGTATCAGAGCCAAGGTCACCAACCTAGGTGCTCAAGTTCATCCAATCACACGGGTTTGCCGCTGATAACTTGTTGATCAAGTTTGTAGATCCCTTTTCTTTCTCTCTTTTTAGTGAGTCAATCTTGCAAGGTACCTCTTCATATATCTATCATGGTTGGATCTAAGATATCTGAACCTAGAATGCTTATTCGTTGGGTTCCCTCCATATCACACTTATACCCCCAACACTCAAGTTTCATATGACCAATATCAAATGTCTTTCCCAAAACCTCTTATCATAAATAAAATTTCAGCCAGCAGGTTCTTTGGATTTCTTGATTTTCTTGATGAAAGCAACTCCCCCACTCCCCCCAGATTTAATTCATCTACAACAAACTCACTAACATTGAATCATCATTATACTACCTGGTTGTTTAATAACCAAAACATCTTTGCATCCCTCTACTCCACTTTATCTCCCGCAGTTATCCCATACGTTCGCAACCTCACGATAATAATAAAAATCTGATCTACTCCCTCAAAGAGGTTGCAACCTACAAATCGATCAAGACTCATCCAACTGAAGAAGAAGTTGCACTTACAATACTTATCTACTGTGAAAGACCTAACATATAACATCTCATCAATATAAAGTCATCTTGAAAAGGAGAGCATAATCCTCTACGCTCTTAAAGGAGTACCAACACAATATCAAGCATTCAAAACAACAATTCAGTTTCAATCCATCCTCTCGAGTTGCATGAATTTTATTCACTTTTATGCAGCAAGGAAATCATTGTAGGCATAGATAATCTGAATATTGAGATACTTATTAATACTCCTATTACACTTCAAACATCCTAATGTAACTTCAACATATCCAATAAAAGTCGTGGAAGAGGTTTTACCTTCCATATCGATAGGGAATGAGGAGGTCACTGCACCAATCAACCAACAATAGTATGTCTGATTTGTAACAAAGTTGGGCACTCAGCCAACACTTTTTGGCACCGAACAAACTTGGACTACAAAGCTCCTCAAAATCAAGCCCTAAAAGCTTTAAATTCCAAGTAGATCCTCGATTACGGAGTTACAAGACACATGACCTTAGATCTCAACAACCTATAAATAGTCACACCACCCAAAGGATCTGAATATGTCTTGATGGGTGATGGATAGTAGGTACCGATCCATCACTCTGTCGATGGAATCTTTTTGACACCAACCAGTAAGCTCAATCTAAATCGAATTTGGCATGCTCCCTTTCTATTTCACAATCTAATTTTAGTTCAAAAACTCATAAGAGATAACAAAGTATCAATTCTTTTCAATGCTACCGGGTTTATCATTTTGATCCACAGACATGCAAGACTCTTCTTCGAGTTCGCAGCTCTAAGGGTCTCTATAATCTCCTAGCCACACCACCAAAGGCATCAACTCATCAAGATCTCCATACCTTACTCATCACTTTGTCAACATGGCAACGACGTCTTGGTCACCCTCATCAATACGTTCTTAAGTATCTTAGTAAACTAAATCCTAAATTAGACATCCCATCCACTATACTACCATGTAATAGCTGCAATGTTAGTAAAGTCATAAGCAATAATTTTTTCATTCCACTCCTATTTATGCTCGCTTACGACTTATGCATATTGATATACGGGGTCCTTCCTCTAGTGTATCATATTCATTGATGATTTTTCTAAGTTTTGTTGAGTTTTTTTTTTTCTTGTTGCAAAATCTGAGGTGACCACTAAATGTACAACATTCATCAATATGATTAAAATCTAATTTAAGACTATCATATCTCATCCATGGTCTGATGGAGGAGAGGATTTTATGACTCATAATCTGGTACAATTCTAAACCGAAAATGAAATCAATCACCGATTATCTTTCATGTACACTACGTAAAAAAATGGTGTTGTGCAATGCAAACATTATCATCTAATTGAAACAAGAGGTGCTCTTCTCTTAAATGCAACCCTCCCATATCAGTTATGGGTTGACACTCTTCTTATATGAATTTATCTAATTAATTGTATGCCCTCTCAAAATACCTGTCGAGTGTCCCTCTATCAAGACCAACCTACATATACTCATCTTAAAGCATAAACGTGTGTGTGTTATCCGTTAATGAAGCCATAAGCATATTTTAAACTAGCTCCAAGGTCCACCTTGTGTGTTTTCTTGGGATACTCACCTAATCACAAAGGATATAAGTGCACTCATAAAAAATTGGGCAAGATAATCATTACCAGGGACGTCATCTTTGATGAACAATCATACCATTTGCTATCCCAATGAATTCCTCTTCTTCTATAAACACCACGAGCACTCAATACCCCTTACTTCTCATAACAGTTCTACCTCCCAATAACCTAATTACAATAGCACATTCACTCTCATATCACCATACTTCAACTATTTTTGAGCAATCTAAAACTCTCCAACATAGCCCATCTCCATTAGTCTACCAACCTATCACCTCAATAAGTATCCATCCAGCTCCTAGTCCTAATGACACATTCCTTCCCACCTAATGCAGACGAGGATCAAAACTGACAATTTGAAACCTATATATTGTCTCAACTTACCTCATCAACTGGAGAAGCCCGTAGACCTCATGCCGAAATCTCAAATAGTGAAGTTCCCACACTGGAGACAAGCTATGAATGAGAAATTCCATGCCCTACAAGCCCAACCTATACAGGAATTGGTTCCCGTACCAGCATATCAGCCCATCACGAGTTGTCGTTGGACTTATTGCATTAAATTTAACTCTGATGGTTTGGTGGTTATGCACAAAGCGAGACTTTTAGAGCATGAATACAACAAAGAAATGAGGATTAATTATGATACATTCAACCCAGTAGCAGAAATGCCTACTCTTAGACCTTTATCATTGCATTTCAAAAACAAGGCTGACATTTCAGCTTGACGTATCCAACACATTCCTACATAGCCACCTTAGTGAAACAATATATATACAGTAACATTTTGGATTAATTGATATTCAACTCTCGTCACATGTGTTCTTATTTAAATAGCCATCTATGGCCTCAAACAATCTTCTGGGCAATGGTTTGCCATAATATATGTATTTTTCTCAAATCTAGGCTTTGAATTCAGCAAAACTGATCCATATTTACTTATATCGAAATAACATATGCATCACGCATATGTTCTTCTATACATGGATGATATTCTGATTACTAGAACTTGCGAATCCATCATAGTTGAGCTAAAAGAACAAACTCCATTACAGCTTGCTGATTAAGGATTTGGGACATGTATCCAAATATTTGGGCATTAAAATCACTCGCATAACATCATTTCTAATCCTAGGCCAACAAAAGTACCTATAACAACTTATGCAAATGGCAGAAATGCAAGGTTACAAGGTGGTCTCTAGCTATTGAAAACTCACTGGACCACTGCAGTACCTCATAATTATGAGACCTAATAACTCATTTGTTGTCAATCAGCTTAGCTGACATATGCATAATCCATCTATCTACTACCAAAAATTACTTGAACGTGTATTTTGTTGTCTACAGGGTACAAGTGACCACGACATCCTCTTTATTTCCAACTACAAACCTTCTTTGACTCCAATTGGGCAGCTAACACTACAAACTGTCGATCCACTATGAGCGACTGTTCATACTTGAGCAACACATCAATCTCTTGAATGGTGAATAAGCAATATACAATGACACAATTCTCTACAAAAACTAAATATCTGTCACTTGCAACAATAATAACAAAAATCATATGAGTGTGGCGCTTACTCCAAGATTTTGATATTCCTCAACTACAACCTACCAAACTATATTGTGACATTTTATCAACTATGGATATAAGAAATAACCTTATCTTTTACGGCCACACAAAATAAATTGAAATCGATTATCATTTTATACAAAATCACATATAATCTGGAGAACTCCAAATCCACCACATTCGTACACAAGACAAGCCAGTTGGCATTCTTACCAAACCTCTTCCTAAACCAGAGTTCAATTAGCTCAAATCCAAGTTGGTTCGACCTTGACCCGTTAGCTTGCCAGTGGATGAAAGGATCAACATGCTAGCTGGAAGAAAAGACAAATTTGGTTAAGCTACTCCACCACAGATCATAACAACATAGATAAGTATCTTATTACCCTGATTTTAAATAATTCTATTTTTGTTATATATATATATGTAGTGTAGCTTTTATTTGGTTATTAGAGAAATATACAAAAGTTATTTTACCTCTCTGTTTTCTTCTTCCTAGATCCTGTTTGCAAAATCAAAATGTGTTATTAACTACCATATATTTTATATTCACATATTTCAGATTATTTAGAACACTTGAATTG